ATACGACCCCAAAAGCACGGGCAACCAAAGGAAAAATAAACAAATAGGATATATCAAACTAAAAAGATTCCACACAGCTAAAGAAACAATTAACAGAATGAAAAGACAACCAACAGAGTGGGAGAAAATATTTGCAAAATATACATCTGACAAAGGATTAATATCCAGAATATACAAGGAACTCAAACAACTTTACAGCAAAAAAACAAATAACCCAATTAAAAAATGGGCAAAAGAGCTAAATAGGCATTTCTCAAAGGAAGATACACGAATGGCCAACAGACATATGAAAAAATGCTCAACATCACTCAGCATTCAGGAAATGCAAATCAAAACTACTTTTAGATACCATCTCACTCCAGTTGGGATGGCTAATACATAAGAGACTGAGAATGATAAATGCTGGCGAGGTTGTGGTGAAAAAGGAACTCTCATACACTGTTGGTGGGACTGTAAAATGGTGCAGCCTCTATGGAAAATGGTATGGAGGTTCCTCAAACAATTGCAGATAGATCTACCATATAACCCAGCTATCCCACTGCTGGGAATATACCCAGAGGAATGGAAATCATCAAGTCGAAGGTATACCTGTTCCCCAATGTTCATTGCAGCACTCTTTACAATAGCTAAGAGTTGGAACCAGCCCAAATGTCCATCATCGGATGAGTGGATACGGAAAATGTGGTATATCTACACAATGGAATACTACTCTGCTATAAAAACGAATGAAATACTGCCATTTGCAATGACATGGATGGACCTATAGAGAATTATATTAAGTGAAACAAGTCAGGCATGGAAAGAGAAATATCACATGTTCTCACTTATTTGTGGGAGCTAAAAATAAATAAATGTACAAACAAAAAAGGGTGGGGGGGAAGAAGACACAACAATTCCTTGAACTTGTTGACAACTGAGCAGATATGATGTAGTGGGGGGAGGGGGATAGCGAGGGGGAAGAACTGGTAAAGGGACACGAAAATCCACTGCAATGTATATTGAGAAGTTAAAATTAAAAAATTGTTTTTAAAAAGAAAACTTTTAAATGTGGCGATTTACAGGCCACATTTCCCAATCATTATCTAATAAAATTAGAAGTAACAAAAAAGAACCAAAATACCTTAACTACTTATAAACTAAGAAGCACACTCCTAGAAAACCTTTGACTCAGAGGAAAGTAATTATTATCCAGCAGCCAATAAAGACGAGGACATTGCAGCAAAGCTTGATGCAGAGGAAAGTGTGTGGCCTAAAATGCCTTCGCTGTGAAAGAAAAAAAAGAGGAACAAGCCACACATTTAAGAAATTAGAAAAATCATAAAGTAAACCAAAAAATGTAGAAAGATAAACTTAATAAAAATAAAAATAAAATTGAAAAAAAACAGAAGGAAATCTAAAATCCGGTTATTTAAAGTGACCACTAATATACACATTAACTCCATATGATCCTAATTAAGAAAATACAGAGAAAGCAAAGATGGACGTACTAGGAACTAGAAAAGGCAAAATAAAGTCAGCACGGGCTCCGCCAGCCTCAGAGGCTCCGTATCTTCCACGGCAGTAACACTGTTTTGTCTTTGGCCCGGACACCAGATCTCAGCATAGGAGATACCTGCGACATGTGCACTGGGTCTCCCGCACACCTCAAACTCAGCACATGCCAAACCAGAGCTGGGCATCACCGCCCACGGAACCCACTTATTCCGCAGTCCTGTCCTCGCAGTCAGAGCTGCCCTGTCCTGCCAACGGCTCAGGCGAAACCTGTGCAGCTGTCCTTAATGTCTCTCTTTCTCCCACCCATGTCCAGTTGGTCAGGAAATCCTGTGGCCTTATCTTCAAAAGAGACCTGGAATCCAACCACTTAACATCCCCTTCGTGGCGACCTCCAGGTCTGAGCCGCCATCTGTTGGATTTGTACAGCAGCCTCCACACCGGTCTCCTGCTTCTGCCCTTTTCCACTTCGGTGTATCCCCAGCACAGCAGCCAGAGGGATCCCGACACGAGGACAGCCACATGACTGATGTCACCCCTCTGCAAACCCTTCCACCGCTGCCTGGAGTCCTTGCTGGGACCTGCCTGCCACAACCCCCTTCCTGCTCCCCCAGGCCCTCGTTGCCCCACTCCCGCCACACTGGCCTCCTTAATGCTCCTTACACAGGCCAGGCACATTCCTGCCTCCCGATCTTGGCACCTGTCGCCTGGAATGTTCTTTCCCCAGGTGTCCCTTAGGCTGATCCCCTCCCTTCCCCCAGCTCTTCACTCAACGGCAGCCTTTGCCTGAGGCCTTCTACGGCCAAACCCTAACCTCCCGACCCTTCAGACACCCTGCCTTCCCTCCTGTCTCCGCCTTCTCAAGGGACTCTACCTGATGGGCCGTACGAGTGTATTTGACTAATTATCTCATTAGCTGTCTGGAAGGGACACTCCAAAAGATGAGGCCTTCATTGTTTTGCCCACTGGGCAGCCCCGATGCCTCAGTCGGTTACTGCCACGCAGTGGGACTTAGTACGTATTTGGTGAATGAATGAATAAACTAGGGACTGAATGCAGGAGAGGTGAAAAGAGCTGTTAGAAAGTACTACACGCAGCTCCGCAGAGACGAGTGCCAACGCCCGAGAAAGTGAAAGCCTTCCTAACAAGGTAGAAGTCACAAATCTGCTCCAAGTCCTTCTTTGAAATTTTCGTACCATACAGTTTCACAGTTTTATCTCACCTAATTGTGGTTATTTAAATGATTCCAAGCCATAGAAAAAGACTATTTAAAAACTCTCCAATTCTTTAATTTGTTTTACAAAATCATAATAAAAGGCCCAGATAAAATAGGAATAGAAGGAAACTACTTAAATATAAGACCCATATGATAACTTTTTTAAAACTATAATGAGATGACAAAGGACTCAGACCTGTAATATACATTGGTCTCTTATTATTGACAAAATAAATACAAAATAATTTACAATAAATAAACCCAATAGAAAAAATGGGTAGGGTGTGTGAAGAGTCTCCCAAATCCAACCCAAATGGGAAACAAATATTTAAAAAGAGATTCAGAATCGAAAGTAGTAAGCAGGAATCATAGTTCCCATGAAACATTTCTTTGCACTCATCAAATTAGCATTAAACTGGCAAAAATCAAAATAAGCTGTGACACCTAGCCAAGGGGAGGGCACACGTCTTTCTTGGCTGTTGATGGAATGTGAAGTCACAAAACCATGAAAAGTGCAAACACGCTTTTTTTTTTTTTTTTTTTTAAAGGTGACCAGTGAGGGGATCTGGACCCTTGACTTGGTGTTGTCAGCACCACGCTCTCCCAAGTGAGCCACGGGCCGGCCCTAAAAGTGCAAACACACTTTAGCCCCAGCAGCCTGCTCCTGGGAATGTACCCCAAAGAGACAGAAGCACTGACACGGAAGGGCAGGTGTTCACGAGGATGCGGGACACTGGAAGTAACTGAGGCCATCAGTGGGGAAGCAGCTGAGCAAACTATGGTGAGTGCACACCATGGAACCCGTGTAGCCACTGACAAGAGTGAATTAGAATTACACTCATTTATGGGGAGGGGTTTCCAAAACGTATTGATGAGAACAGTTCGTATGAAATCGCCTTGCAACAGGAAAAGACCACCAAAATCCTACACACACACATTTGAACGTGCGCACGTGCATGCGTGTGTGTGTGTGTGTGCCTACGTGTGCTATCCCAGAGGAGCACGGAGCAGTAAGGAAGGGCACACTCTAAGTGGTTAACATGGGTTTCCTGGGCCTGGGTGAGGACAGAAGAGGGGAAGCATAAATGTATGTGCGTGCCGTTTAATTAAAGCGTTCCAGTTCATAGATGTAACCGTGTGACAGGAAACAGGCCTTCAACTCCGGTCCACGCACAGACTGATCGAGAGCAACAAAGTGCACATTGGAT